GGGAGGGCCTCCGCCAGCCGGGGCCTGTCCGTGTGAGTGCGCGCGCGCGCACGGGGCCCGGCCCGGGCTCGGCCCGAGCAGCGTCAGACACACTCGTGCATATACACGCCGGGGCCCTGCGCACGGCATCACCCAGATGACCGCCCGGCTTCCGGGTGCTCCTGGCAGCCGGGCCGCCTGCCCGCCGATCCCTCCGCCCTCTCACGGCCTCGGGCCGGGTAAGCGAACCAGACAGGACCCCTCGTGACTCCTCCCAACCGACAACAACAACAACAACAGCCAAGGCAACCCTATGGGCTCGCGGCCCGGATCGGCCAGCAGTCGTCGGCCCCAAGTCATTCGTGTGTCTCTCGAGCAGGTGGGGGGGGGGGGCGGATGTGAGCCGAGCGGCCTGCCTTCCGGGCCAAGGAAGAAACGAGCCAGCGCTGAAACATTGCCCGTCTCTACGGCAAGTACCCCCCCCCCCCCCCACACTCACCCACCCACCCGCTCCGTCGCAAGGACAGGAGCGGGAATAAACACATTCGAAAGGCAGACACACCAAGGCCCCGGCCGGCGGCATGCCGAAACCCTAGGAGCGCCCAACTTCCCCGCCCGGCCCCACCCCCCTGCCCTGCCGAACGCCCAGCACTGGCCGGCCGCCCGCCCAGGCCTTCCTTGGCTCAGTGGGCGATGCCTGCCCATCCCCGTGGCCTTGTCCGCGCCGCTGGCGGGTGCTCTGGGTGACCGCAGGAGCCCCCCCTGGCACCCTCTCTACTCCAGGCCCCAACGGCCTGCGCCTGGCCCCGGGCAGCTGGATGAGGTGGTGTGACATATCTGGGTCACATGATCGACACATACGTTTCCTCCAGCCTCTCTTGTATGCTGCGCTCCCCGGCCCCCTATTCCCGGTCCGCCCCCCCCCCCCACCCCCTCAGCGCGTTGCCCTGGCCGGCGACTTTCAGGGCCCCCCGTACTGCCCTGCACACCCGGGTCAGTCGAACAGAAGGGAATGGAACCGGTCCGCGGCGATGGATGTCGGAGAGGCACATGCAACGGAGATTGGGTGATTTTATATTTTACATGGCCCGGCGGCTGGCCGGGTCGAAAGGGGGGGGGGGGGGGAGGGGGCAGCAGCGACCGGCGCGCGCGCAGGCCTCCTCTCCCTCGCCTCACATTGGGGGGAAATATGCTGGAGGGGGTGGGTGGTGGAAGAGAAAGGGGGGAGCCTAGGATGAGAGTGGGATCTCAAAGATGCATTCACGTCCACACGCGCACACACTCCCGCGCATACCCCAACGCAAGAGGGCAAGGGGGGGGGGAGAGAGAGAGAGAGAGATTGGAGGAGGCGTCGACTCGGCGGGAGAAGGCATCGAAAGCACAGGAGCCCGAGAGAAGCGAGCGAAGAGACAACTCAATCAGTTGTAGTTGTAGCTAAGCTCGGAAGCGGGCCAGTCCTCGTAGGTGCCTGGGGGTGGGGGGGGGGTCCAGAGAGAAAAAAAAGAAGAAGGGCGGCGAAAGGTCAGTGTTGGCTATTGGCAGCGCGGCGCCTCCCCCCGGGCACAGGGGTACGCATGCATGCGCGCATCACAATCCGGATGGACCTACCATTGGGCAAGTAGCGGCGGACAATCAGCGGGACCTTCCCCTCGCGAAGCTCCTTCTCGGCAATCGCAAGCGGGTCCGTCAGGCCAGCGGGCTCGACAGTGATCGGGGCGTTCATGCTATGCATGCACCGAGGGAGGGGATCGAAAGCCACACACGTGCGTAAGTTCCGGGCGCCGGGAGACCAGAAAAGGCCCCACCACCAGTGGGGCTTCACAAACAAGCAGACCAGCTGACGGCCAATCAACGGACCTGATCTGAAGAGCGCGGGTCCCCAGAAGACGAGCACACTCGTACTTGGTCATGAAGGGAGAGGTCGAGCGCAGGTTGGCCGGGACGGCCTGGTGCTCACCACTGAAGTCGTGCTCCTCGCCGAAGGAGACAACCTCCTCATTGATCTAAGGGTGTGGGGGAGAAGCGCGGTGAGGATGGCAGGTACGAACAAGAAAGGAGAGAGAGAGAGAGAGAGAGGAAGGAGGTGTAGCAGGAAGGGGGGGGGGGGAAGAGGAAAAGAGAAAAAGAGAAAGAGAGAAAAAGAGAAAG